GGTGAGGTTGGTCCACACGGCGATCTCTTCGCGCGTGCTCATGTCGGGGTAGCGGTTCCTCTGGAAGGTGGCCTCCAGCTCCTGCAGCTGCTGGCTGGTGAAGTGCTTGCTCTGTCGCCGCTGCTTCTTCTTCAGCGAGCCGTCCTCGGGGGAGCCCCCCGGCAGGGAGGCCGAGGCCTTCTCCGAGTCTGGGGTGCAGAATGAGACAGGTCATGGGGAGCTAGGGTCTGGCCCTGGGACCTCAAGGAATTCCTCAAACTCTGGCTGCCTGCCACCCAGATTGCCACTCTGGGTCCCACACACCCGGCAAGGCTAAACTGTTTTCTCCTCCACCCCCAGAAGGGGGCGCGCTCACCACTGTGCTCCTGGCCCTTGCAGCCGTGTTCCGGGAGGGGAGGGTGTGGGGTGCCTGCATCTGACAGTGACAGGGCAGGGCTCCGAGCCTCTGCCTCACTGAGCAGCCCGAACTCCATGGAGGGAGGACTCTAGAGGAAAGAGAAGACACAGATCAAGTAAATAGAGGTAAAAACCAGCGACTCATGGCCACCCCGACGTGGTGGTGAATGCCTGGGATCCCAGTACTCATGAGGCAGAAGTAGGAAGATCGCCCATGAGTTCCAGCCTAGCACACTCTACATTGTGAGCACCAGGTCAGCCAAGAATACGTAACAAGACCCTCTCTCAAACAAGCAAAATAACAACAACAAAACCATGGAGTTATCAGGATCCTAATAGGGTTTCCCCACAACATTCATGCCTCTCTTCTCATCCACGGGCAAAGCTATCTCGAATGGCGTACTCTAGAATAGAGTGTGGAAAGATGGCTCAGCACCCACGTGGCTGGCAGCTCTCAACCATCAGTAATTCACTTCCAAGGGATCCAAAGTCTTCTGCCCTCCCTGGGGACTAGGCACTCGGGTGCAGACATGCATGCAGGAAAGACACCCATACACTTAATACAAGTCTAAAAACAACCAGAACAAAGAGTTGAGAAAGGGAACCCAAATGAGCAAAAGGTGCACATGGGAGGTTTTATGCACACATAAAGACAACAGATCCATTAACTGTTGGACCCATGTCCAGTGCCACAGCTGTTCCATTTTGTTTCTTTGGGACAGAATCTCATGTAGCTCAGGCTAGCCTTAGTCTGTGATCTTCCTGCCTCTACCTTTGAATGCTGAAATTACTGACCTGTATTACCACACCCAGCTAAGTTTCAGTTTTATTTATTTAATTTTGGGGGTTTGTTTTGAGACAGAGTTTCTCTGTGTAGCCCTGGACTGTCTGGGAACTCCCCCTCAAGACCAGGCTGGCCTCAAGCTCATAGAAACCCTCCTTCCTGGGCCTCCAAGTGCTGGGATTAAAGACATGCAACACCGCCACTGCCTGACTTCAAAGTGTTTTTTCTTTTACTCTTTTCAATTTTATTTTTTAAGAATGTAATATTTGTTTAGAGCCAGGTGTGGCAATGTAGATCTACAATGTCAGCACCCAGAAGGTAGAGGGCCTGGACTTTAAGGCCAGCCTTGGTTACATGAGACCCTGTCTCAAAAGACAAGGGGTGATTCACTTGGTAAAGTACCTGTGTCCCAAGCATGAGGACCTGAACTTGACTTCTCAGCACCACATAACACCACCCTGTAACCTAGCCCTGGGGAGACAGAAACCAGTTTGCTTGCCAGCCAGTCAAACTGACCTGGACAGCTCTGAGTTCAATGAGAGACTCAACAAGCTGGGAATGGTGGAGGAAGAGGCAGTGCTGATCTCTGCCTTCACATGTATGTGCGTGGGTATCTTCATACACACAGCCATGCTTGTGTACCTCCACACACACAAACACGTGTGCATGTACACAAACAGTACTTTTAGATTCCAATCCAAAAGCTCTGAAACTGCAGGCTGGGGAAATGGCTCATTAATTAAGAGCACTGGCTGCTCTTCCAGAGGTCCTGAGTTCAATTACCAGCACCCACATGGTGGCTCACAACCAGCTAGAACTGTAGTCCCATGGGATCTGATGCCCTTTTCTGGTATGCAGACACACATGCAGATAATACCCATATACATAAACACAATAAAGTTTAAAAAAATAAAGTCTGTAACTGGAAATGTACCTCCAAGCTTGGAATTCAGAGAAATCCAGGGTTCAGACACCGATACCGAGATTAGGGATGATCAGCCCAGCTCAATCGTTTCATAGGTGGAACCTAAGAACCAAAGTAACTCAATTAAGTCACTGAGCCTGTGAACTGTACAGTTAGGACCTGAACTAGATTTATGGACTCTGGAAGAGGCTTTTTCAAATTGTGTTCCTTGGAGCCCTCTGCAGAACTAGAACTCCAGCTTGGATCCCCTTAGGTCTGCTTTAGCAGTAGGGCAATTCTGCCTGTTTGGGTTACTTATGTTTTATGAAAGGATTTTGTTTGAATAAAAGGTTTCATGTCAATACCAAGTTTGAACACCATGAGTTGGGGTTGGAGAGATGGCTCAGTGGCTTAAAGCACTTGTTCTTGCCGAGGATCGAAGTTCGATTCCCAGCATCCACGTGGCATCTCATAACCATCTGGAGCTGCAGTTCCAGGGGATCCAGTGCCCTTGCCTTGTCTCCACACAGGTAAAACAGTCACACAAAGTAAACACAAACAAATAAACAATATCTAAAAATTAGAAAAGAATAGAAAAGACCACAGGCACTTGGGCCCCTTCTGTTCCTTTGCTTGTCTGAAACATGCACCTTCTACTGGTCATTTCGCCATCTCATGCCTAGCCTCTCTCACACCATTCCAGGCAGTATGTATGGGTTCCTTTAGACATTTCACCCAACACACACACAAACACACACACACACACTTATACTTCCTGACAGTATTCCTAGCCCAAACC